TCGGTTTCGTCCTTGCGGATTCCCGCGAAGGAATGGATGCGCTGCGTGGAGAGAACGTCGAGGGAGGTGATGCGGCGGAGGTTGCGCCAGAGCTCGCCGTAGGAGCACGACCCCACGGTGGTGTAGTTTGTAGAAGATGTGCTTTCCGGAGAGGGAAGCGAGGTCGGTTGGCCAAGGCGACGTCGTTTTTGGTGAAACATTCTTGAAGGCGGAGGGCGATGAAACGATGACGGCGAGACGGGAACCGAACCAGAGGGAGAAGACGTGGCCGTGTGTTTGGGACATGCGTTGGAGGAAACGGTGGAGGGGGCGTTTCGAGGAGGTTAAGGTTGCCGATTATTGGAAGAGGTGGTGGGCCCGGTGGAAGGTTTTTGTGGTTTGTTTGGAAGAAAAGTTTGAAAATGATGAGAAGAGAAAGGAGGAAGAAGAGAGAGTACGTGAACAAGGGAAGTGTTTCCATGGCTGGTTACTGCAGTTCGTGGTGGATATTATGGTGAAAGCTTGAGTTTGCAGAGAACATACTGCCTCATGTTTCCATGTGAAGCAACTTTTATACAGCAATTTGGGTTGAGGAATTGCTTTAACTACATAATATTTCTGTTTCTTTTTTATATTTTTAAATGGAGACTTTAGGTTTTTATTTATTAATAAGGTTTCTTTCTCCGATTGTTTATTATCTCCCTTTCTGAATAACCCCCTCTCCTTTTAATTTTCAAGTTTTCTTTTGAATCTTCTTACATTAATATGAAGAAGATATATGTAGGTAACATATGTATCCGCAGACAACCTTATTATAAACACTTAATTATAGAGGTGAGATGGTCTCTTGATTGGAATATATTTTTGAAAGAAAAAAATAAATTTGATTACGAATTATTGAATATTTTAAAAAAAAATCATTATTGTTTCATCTATTTATTTAATTTGAATAAGATTGTCTTCAGTAAAAGGCAATTATAATATTTAAAAAGAAAGAGCTAATAATTAGTTATTATTTTAAGATACCTTTAAAAAAAATGAAACAAGAGAGTAGATAATTGTATAAATTTTAAAAAAAAAAACTGTGGTTCTTTTTATTAGTACAGTTGGTGTTTAAAAATTACAAAATCTACTGTTAGATTTTATTAATTATAACATTTTTTAAAGAAAAAATATACGATTGAGACAGGTGAATAAAATATTTTCAACGTCTGAAGGCAGTGTAATATGTATTAAAATTCAAAATATGATAATGTAAAATTCAAAGTGCCCATTGAAAAGTCATCGCTTTATAATAAAATTCAAACCAGCTGAAATAAAAGGGTTTCTTTAGTTAGATTAATTTTAGGTTATTTTTTCTGTCTGCATTTGCCAAACAGAAAAGAAATATAAGATAAAAAAAATTGAGTGAAAAAGAAAATAATTAGGTCAGAAACGGGCACGTGGTAGGTGGTGCGAAGAGTAACAGAATCTGGAGAAAAAAAAATCTACGTTGGAGGAATATTTGTGAGTTAGTATTTAAGGAAAATGGTCATTTGAAATACTTCTTTGTCTAACTTTTAGACGATTTGACTTTAGAAAATTTTTTCTTTTTTCTATTTAAATTATTGAAATGGACACATTCAAAAAAAATTACGAAAATAAACGTGAATTTGATATGATTTTATTATAAATTAATTGTATTAATTTGATACAATTTCTTTTAATGCATTATAATATAAATTATATTATCATTATCTTGCTTAGTTATTGGCTAATGTATTGAGTTATTCTCAAGTTGTTTATATTGTCGAATCAGTGTGAAACTATAATTGAATTGTTGTCAAATTATCTATGATAGAGCGGTGGGACTTTGACACAAGAAAACAATAAACTAATTACATGATTAAATAATAATATTTTAATTATAATTATATTATATTTTTAATTTAAAATCATATTGGTCACTTTGAGTTAACCCAACCCATCTACTTATTAACGAGTTGAAAAATTTTTAACCTAATTCGACCCACCACCATGATCAGTGGATTAAACAGGTTGACTCGTTTAATTATAAGTTTTTTTAAATAAAAAAAATTGCAATTGTTTTTAATTCAAATCTAAATAAATGTCACTCTAAAATAATGTTAAACTCTAAAAACAATTCAAAATAAAAAAGTATCATACAAATAAATTTTTAATATTGATAATTTTTGTATCACTTGTCCATTTATAATATTAGAGTCTTAAATAAATAAATGTATAATATTTTTCTCTCTTAGAAACATCTTCTTTATTACTATCTACAGTATAATAAAAAAATGTTAACTAATAATATTGAAACACAAAATAATAAATAATTAAATTAAATTAGGTGAGTTGGCGAGCCAACCTAGCTCACCACGGGTTCAACCCAGTGAGTCGGGTTGAAAACTGGCTCACATAAACAAATTACATTTTTTTCAAACCCAACTTGGCTCAAACCCATGGTGAGCCGGGTTGACCCTCGAATTACAATCTATTTTGACAGCACTATAATATATATTATATTATTAAAAATAATGTTAAATGAATGTTTTTTAATCTGTGTCAAACAAACTTTTTTCTTTATGATATTTTGTCTGGTCGAATGTGTCATATATTATCAAATTTCATAACCAATATTTATAAGAGATGTTTTCTTTCCTTTTTTTATGTTTAGTATCTTATTATTTTTTCATATATAATATACTTTTATATGCAACTATACATATATATTACTTTTTTGGCTTAAATGTTTACTTCGTCTCCATGTTAAGAGGTGAATTTCTATTTACATACAAATAAATATCTTAAAATTTTGGGACACCAAAGCATAGTCCATTCACATAGACAACATCATTTACTCAATCCACATCATGCCAAAAAATATCAGCACACCAAAATGGACAACAAACAAAAAATAACATAGTGCGACAAAAGCCCTAAACCCCACAACAAAATACCAACAACAGTATGGATGACGAACACAAATTAAGAAGTGAAACTCACTTGGTCAATGATATACCCTTTCAAATTTCAACAAACGATGTTTACAATCTACCATACCACGCTCACCACCACTTAATGTTGACAAAATTTTTAAACCCCAACGCAAATGATTTTGTTGGAATAAGCCTTCAATTAAAAAAAACTAATTCCATGTCACACATTGCCTAATGTGTCAACTAAGCAAAAACAACATAATCCATTTAAATAATGCCACCTTGTACACTCTTTGGTTAACAATTTAAATGTGGCCATGAAAAATGATCAAATTAAACAACATTTATCAAAATAGGGACCTAATTGAATGCACACAAAAAATGAGGATCACATTGAACATGTCCACTTCTGGTGATTGAATGTCTTTTTGAAATTTGTTTTGCCACCATGTCCACAACTATGATCACTAGTACAACCACAACCACGACCAAAGCCACAACTATGACCATGAAAATACGAATCAAAGATATTGTTGTACTCACTTGTAGGAATAGAGCAAAACTAGTTAGGCAAGTCTCATGATATTGTTGTTACAGGAGAAAATTAGTTACTCAAATGCTTTATTTCTTTCTTTAATGGGATTATCAATACTCATTGCATCTAAACCTATTTTAGCATATAATATCCAAGATAAGTAATTCTTCCTTGTAATGGTCACAAATTCAAAATTTCCAAGATTTAACATGTGTAGAATCAACATATAAAATATTAATAATAATTACTTTTAATGTATGAAACTATAAATATTAAATAATAATTACTTTCAATAATAATATACAACAATATTAAATATTAGAAAAAAAAATCAAATCTAATTAATAATCATAATAATAATAATAATAATAACACATAAAAATTGATAAAGTCAAAAAATTACTATTGGAAAAATAAAAATATAAGATAAATTTGTAAATGAAAAAAATAAATAAAAAGAATCTAAATTGAGACACGTAGGAAGCCGATAGAGAGAAAATACCCCATTAGATTAGAGCATTATGATGATAATATGTTATAAAATAAAACTGATAGAGAGAAAAGGAAAAAGTAGTGCTGTTAAAATGGGTCACCCGGCTCGACCCACCACGAGTTGGTGGGTAAACGGGTTGGTTCACTGATTTACTTACTTACAATTTAAAAAGAAAAATTACAAACTTTATAATTCAAATCTAAACAAATTTTATTTCCAAATTTCACTCCTCGTGTTTAATTAATTTTGAAAAGAGGGAACTTAAATAATTTTTTCAAGCAAAAAAAATAATAAATATTTATTTATAAAATTAAAATTAAATTTTAATAAAATAAAATTAGGTAGGTGGGTTGGTGGGTCAATCCGGTCCACCACGGATCCAACCCGCATGAGCCGGATTTAACCCAGCCAGGTTGAAATCTGACCTGCATAAAAAAATATAATTTTTGGAAATTCAACCCGATCCGAACCTGGACCGAATTGACCTACGGATTGTGACCTATTTTGATAGTTCTAGGAAAAATAAGGAGGAAAAGAGGTTAACAATGAAAATTAATTTATCTGTATATAATAGAAAAAGTTTTATTTATATATATAAAACGCAAGCCAAAAATGATATAAATAAAGTAGTTAATATAAATATTTAAATTTTATCAAAACATAATCAAGAATGTGTGTGAATAATTGTAGCAAAGCAATGTGAATAAATATAAGAAATTAATGAAAAATTATTAATTTATAACATTAATAGTATAATTTTTTCTGTAACAAATCAAGCGACAATCAATCTTGTAATATTTTTTCTATCTCTAAATTAATACTATATATCTCATTATGAAATTAGACAAAAGAATAACATTAAATATTTTAAAATAAAAACACCAAGTTAAATAATTTGACTGGATTTTTTTAATGAGAACTGAAATCTAAAAATATTTAAAATCTCAAAAGAATATATTAAAATTATAATCTTATAAAAAATAACTAAATAATAATTGATTATTATATTTGAAAATTTAAACGTAAGTTCTAAAGGGATTCAGAGAAGTGAAAGCTGCAAACTTATTTCGCCGCTTAAAATCTGTGGTACCGTTATTTTCCTAATTCCCAAACCTAATTGCCGGCAAAGTGTTTCCTCTTCCGACGAGCGAACCTCACGCTATTCCGACGAGCGAACCTCGCGCTATTCCGACAGATATATGGCACCGCCCCGAGGTTAATCAATTCGTTCCAATTGTATTCATCCTTATGTTTGTTTATTCAAATTCATGGTTAATTATTGATGATAATGTAGTAATTGTCTATTTTTGTGACAGAGCTTCAGGGCTTTTACTATGATCCTGAGAAGAACAGGTATTTCCCCATCAAAGGCCCCATTCCGGGCTCTTCTTCTAAACCCAAGAACCCTACTCCCAAAGGTCCTCAAACCCCTTCCAATCAGGTATTTATAATGTTTGTGAAACCATAATATTGTATTATATGTCTTATTAGGGTTATATTTGAGTGCTTGAAAATTCAACTCAAAATTGGAATGATTTTAGTTACAGAGTGGTAGGAGTTCTTGCAGGAAGCTCAGAAACAGAACCTTGCCGAAGCTGCTTCAGGCTAGAGAGTTGGAGGGTCGCCATGTCATTTATCCTCATTATTGCAGATGTAACTTTGCCGATGAATATGAGAAAATTCAAGCATCTAAACCTGTGGTGGGAATGACTTTTGCTTCATTTTTTCTGCGGTTCAGTCTTTCGAGTTTTGAATCTAATCTAAAGATGGAATTTGTAGGTCTGGAGATACCGGGGAACAGATAAGATGGGTGTTTGTGCTTTGAAACACTTGCGCGTTGATGTGCAGACTTTGCAGGGGCAAATTGAAACTGATGTTTTATTGACGGGCAGCATAAATGGCTCCTTGAGGTAACTTGTTTCGATTGTGTGCATGCATTTACATTTTCTAGTTTCTTGTTGTGTTTGTTTTGCATTTTGTAATGTAATTATTTGATTGGAAAAATCTCTATTTTTTAACTTTTCTGATTTAATCATTGTTAAATGAATGTAAATACGTTTTATCAGTTGTTTCTAACTATTATCCAAGTTAAATATCCTCTTTCACTTCGTTTTAAATAGTGCTGATATAGTGCAATGTTTTAATTCTAAAAAATTCCTCTGAACAGAGACATTGGGGCTCTTTAGGGGTTATTTCTGATATTTTTAATAAATGAAATGTCAGCTAGTAGTGAAAATGATTAAGAAGTTACCTTGGATTTAAAGGATGATAATTGTTGATTCCCATCTAATAAACTTCTTTTTGCCTTTTGTTGGTATTGCTTGTATGATTTGTTTAAGACACATGTTTTTTTAATGTTCATTATGAATGTCATTAATTTTCAGTATTTTATTTTTATCATTTTTTATAATTTATAATGTAACATGCTATTTATAGTTTTTGAAATAGAAGCTATCCTGTGTACCACTAGCTTGCCTTAATCAATTGGTGTGTATCTTTTCTCTTCACATCAAATTATTCATTATTTTTTTCATTTTGCTTTAATATTATTTTGCAACATTGCCCTATTACTCTAATTGATACTGATATCAACTTCCCTGAATATTTTCTGTACTTTGATGATCCTGCTTACTAATAGAGCGACACTGGTTGCATTTGAACCTGGATGTTGGTTGTTCTTTGTTTGGTTCTTGTTGACATTGATGCATAATGTGGATTACTGTTTTCTATTTGATTTTGAAATTTTTATTTGCAGTTTTTCTGAAGTTGGAGGGGTTGGGCAATATTTTGATGACGGGACAAAATGGATGGCAGATTGTGTGAGGAATTTTGTTAAAGGGAAAACATTTGAGCGTGATGAAGTGCGTAAGCCAGTTTTCAGACCTAATCGAGCTGCATTGCTTATGCCCTCCAGAATATCTTGTATAAGGTTGGGTCCAAAGTGCTCACCTCAGGCAGAGAATGATGGTTCTGTTGCAGGACGTGTTTTGTATCCTTTTTTGGTTATTCTTCAGTAAGCATTATATAGTAATGTAAATATATATGGTCAAAATTAGAACATTTAGTCCTATGACCTTCAAGTAACTTCTAATCTTGATCATCCATGTGACATTGTATTACCAAGATTTTCTATAAGGTTCGTCTTATCTCTGGCCAACTTCAAATGAAAATTGGAGATTCCCTTCCCTCGTCTGCTCTCACTGCTCATCCTATCTTACCCTTGGCTGCTATGCCATCCTGATAAGATATCAAAGAAAGAACTGGGAAAGAATCCACAAAAAGGGAGCCCCTGAGCATAAAGCTCTCTTATCCCAGCGAGTAAAGAAAGATAGGGGGCGAAAGGGATATGAGTATAGAGTGATTAAGATACCTTACCTATGGAGTAAAATAAGAAAGAGAGAAGTAAGTGGGAGTACTATTCTAAACTACAGCTATAGGAAATAAAGTCCCTTTCAGAATGGGTTTATTGCCTTAAGGCTAATTGAAGGACAAATGGCCTTCCCTAGCACCTTTCGCCTGCTATTAGGTTAATCACGCATCTAAGAGAGCTTATTTGGACTCCTCATTCTATCATGATTATTGGAACAATGTGTTTCATTTATTTTATTAAAATTGATCTTGAATTGAAAGATCTTAACATGAAAATAGATTTACTACACTGGGATCAGAAACGTCAGGTGGATCCGTTTATACTCTTGGTCTTGTTGAACCGTTAAATCTTGGACCAGGTATACTGAACACGTGGAGTGGACTTGAGGAAATTGCTTCTTTCAGATGTACCCTTTGGACAGCAGAATATGATAATAATAGACACCGGGCTGTAATTGGTAAGTGACATATTGCTCTTCATATTTTCTGACACACATTGGATTGTTGAGGGACTATATTTGCTTATGTTTACTGCACAGATTTACAATGTTTTGGTATTTTTCATCCCATGCGAATTTGTAATATGTTAAGTCTCTTCACTGTTTGATTTTCAGCTTAGAAAATTTTGCTANAAAACACCAAGTTAAATAATTTGACTGGATTTTTTTAATGAGAACTGAAATCTAAAAATATTTAAAATCTCAAAAGAATATATTAAAATTATAATCTTATAAAAAATAACAAAATAATAATTGATTATTATATTTGAAAATTTAAAAGTAAGTTCTAAAGGGATTCAGAGAAGTGAAAGCTGCAAACTTATTTCGCCGCTTAAAATCTGTGGTACCGTTATTTTCCTAATTCCCAAACCTAATTACCGGCAAAGTGTTTCCTCTTCCGACGAGCGAACCTCACGCTATTCCGACGAGCGAACCTCGCGCTATTCCGACAGATATATGGCACCGCCCCGAGGTTAATCAATTCGTTCCAATTGTATTCATCCTTATGTTTGTTTATTCAAATTCATGGTTAATTATTGATGAAAATGTAGTAATTGTCTATTTTTGTGACAGAGCTTCAGGGCTTTTACTATGATCCTGAGAAGAACAGGTATTTCCCCATCAAAGGCCCCATTCCGGGCTCTTCTTCTAAACCCAAGAACCCTACTCCCAAAGGTCCTCAAACCCCTTCCAATCAGGTATTTATAATGTTTGTGAAACCATAATATTGTATTATATGTCTTATTAGGGTTATATTTGAGTGCTTGAAAATTCAACTCAAAATTGGAATGATTTTAGTTACAGAGTGGTAGGAGTTCTTGCAGGAAGCTCAGAAACAGAACCTTGCCGAAGCTGCTTCAGGCTAGAGAGTTGGAGGGTCGCCATGTCATTTATCCTCATTATTGCAGATGTAACTTTGCCGATGAATATGAGAAAATTCAAGCATCTAAACCTGTGGTGGGAATGACTTTTGCTTCATTTTTTCTGCGGTTCAGTCTTTCGAGTTTTGAATCTAATCTAAAGATGGAATTTGTAGGTCTGGAGATACCGGGGAACAGATAAGATGGGTGTTTGTGCTTTGAAACACTTGCGCGTTGATGTGCAGACTTTGCAGGGGCAAATTGAAACTGATGTTTTATTGACGGGCAGCATAAATGGCTCCTTGAGGTAACTTGTTTCGATTGTGTGCATGCATTTACATTTTCTAGTTTCTTGTTGTGTTTGTTTTGCATTTTGTAATGTAATTATTTGATTGGAAAAATCTCTATTTTTTAACTTTTCTGATTTAATCATTGTTAAATGAATGTAAATACGTTTTATCAGTTGTTTCTAACTATTATCCAAGTTAAATATCCTCTTTCACTTCGTTTTAAATAGTGCTGATATAGTGCAATGTTTTAATTCTAAAAAATTCCTCTGAACAGAGACATTGGGGCTCTTTAGGGGTTATTTCTGATATTTTTAATAAATGAAATGTCAGCTAGTAGTGAAAATGATTAAGAAGTTACCTTGGATTTAAAGGATGATAATTGTTGATTCCCATCTAATAAACTTCTTTTTGCCTTTTGTTGGTATTGCTTGTATGATTTGTTTAAGACACATGTTTTTTTAATGTTCATTATGAATGTCATTAATTTTCAGTATTTTATTTTTATCATTTTTAATAATTTATAATGTAACATGCTATTTATAGTTTTTGAAATAGAAGCTATCCTGTGTACCACTAGCTTGCCTTAATCAATTGGTGTGTATCTTTTCTCTTCACATCAAATTATTCATTATTTTTTTCATTTTGCTTTAATATTATTTTGCAACATTGCCCTATTACTCTAATTGATACTGATATCAACTTCCCTGAATATTTTCTGTACTTTGATGATCCTGCTTACTAATAGAGCGACACTGGTTGCATTTGAACCTGGATGTTGGTTGTTCTTTGTTTGGTTCTTGTTGACATTGATGCATAATGTGGATTACTGTTTTCTATTTGATTTTGAAATTTTTATTTGCAGTTTTTCTGAAGTTGGAGGGGTTGGGCAATATTTTGATGACGGGACAAAATGGATGGCAGATTGTGTGAGGAATTTTGTTAAAGGGAAAACATTTGAGCGTGATGAAGTGCGTAAGCCAGTTTTCAGACCTAATCGAGCTGCATTGCTTATGCCCTCCAGAATATCTTGTATAAGGTTGGGTCCAAAGTGCTCACCTCAGGCAGAGAATGATGGTTCTGTTGCAGGACGTGTTTTGTATCCTTTTTTGGTTATTCTTCAGTAAGCATTATATAGTAATGTAAATATATATGGTCAAAATTAGAACATTTAGTCCTATGACCTTCAAGTAACTTCTAATCTTGATCATCCATGTGACATTGTATTACCAAGATTTTCTATAAGGTTCGTCTTATCTCTGGCCAACTTCAAATGAAAATTGGAGATTCCCTTCCCTCGTCTGCTCTCACTGCTCATCCTATCATACCCTTGGCTGCTATGCCATCCTGATAAGATATCAAAGAAAGAACTGGGAAAGAATCCACAAAAAGGGAGCCCCTGAGCATAAAGCTCTCTTATCCCAGCGAGTAAAGAAAGATAGGGGGCGAAAGGGATATGAGTATAGAGTGATTAAGATACCTTACCTATGGAGTAAAATAAGAAAGAGAGAAGTAAGAGGGAGTACTATTCTAAACTACAGCTATAGGAAATAAAGTCCCTTTCAGAATGGGTTTATTGCCTTAAGGCTAATTGAAGGACAGATGGCCTTCCCTAGCCCCTTTCGCCTGCTATTAGGTTAATCACGCATCTAAGAGAGCTTATTTGGACTCCTCATTCTATCATGATTATTGGAACAATGTGTTTCATTTATTTTATTAAAATTGATCTTGAATTGAAAGATCTTAACATGAAAATAGATTTACTACACTGGGATCAGAAACGTCAGGTGGATCCGTTTATACTCTTGGTCTTGTTGAACCGTTAAATCTTGGACCAGGTATACTGAACACGTGGAGTGGACTTGAGGAAATTGCTTCTTTCAGATGTACCCTTTGGACAGCAGAATATGATAATAATAGACACCGGGCTGTAATTGGTAAGTGACATATTGCTCTTCATATTTTCTGACACACATTGGATTGTTGAGGGACTATATTTGCTTATGTTTACTGCACAGATTTACAATGTTTTGGTATTTTTCATCCAATGCGAATTTGTAATATGTTAAGTCTCTTCACTGTTTGATTTTCAGCTTAGAAAATTTTGCTACATAGGATGATGTTGTCTAGCCAGTATCGATATGGCTGTGGGTGGTTGGTTTTCTTTTGTTTTGTGTTTTAGTTCTCTCTTGCCTTCAATTTGTGTCTGTTTTTGTCACATTATGAGGATAAAATATGTGGCATAGGGAATGGTATGTTAATTCTTGGTAATTTACGAACAGAACTTGTGATATATGCCATCTTCCATGAGAATATCTGAACAAACTTTTAGACATTACAATTTCCCCCTTGTAATTTTTGTCTAATTTTTTTGCAAGATATTTATTGGTGTTCTATATCTTTATTAGGTACAAGTTTAGGAGGTGCTTCAGTGGATCTGGAAACCAGGATGGAAACATGGTTTTTACGTTGCAAAAGTGATGTTTTTGCACAACAAATTATTAATTCTGTAAGTTATCCCTTTTTATTTTAATAAGTTTGCAAGTTACTCTTTTTAAATTTCTGCCCGGGACATTTTCTTTCAATCAAATATATAATTAAATTGAAGAAAAGATGAAATTTTCATCATGTCCTTTGTAAATGAAAATGTTCTTGTAAATTTAAGTATCACATTCATGAATATGAACCAAAAATTTACCTAGTGTACATAACTGCTGGAACTTGTACTACTATTCCATATCACTTACACTATTCTTATTAAACACTTGAATTAAATCAGAGTTATTTAATTGTTTTTTGCTCATTTTGCAAAAGACATAATAGTGATAAGGTTCACAAGGAAATGCTATGCTTGATGTTTGGAAAAAGGAATCTATTTTTAGCAACTAGATACCACATTTAGGTAAAAGGTGATGTCCTTTCCATCAGATGTTTACGGGGAGTACGAGTTCACTTGTTTTTGTATTTTGTTTGGTCTTATATCTAGATCAGAAATACAGAGACTAGCACAATGAGATCTGTATGAGAGCAGCATTCAATTTAATTAGCTGTCAAGAGTTTACATATTATGCTTCATCCTGTAACTTTTTTTTACAGTGTCTATAACTAATTGAGTCCATTAGTTAAAATGGTAAATGTTAGGTAAAATAGAAGGGCAAGTAAGAGTCTAGGTAACAGTTGTTTGTTGTAGGAATAATGATTGTAACAGCAGTCAGTAATTGAACATCTGGGAGTTAGTTTGAATAAGTTACACGTTTTATTACACTGACGGTCCTATTTATTTATTTGTGTGTGTTCTCTTCTTATATTTTTGCTCTCAGAAATATCTTATCCTCTGATTTAGTTCTATTCATTCTTTCCTGTCTTTAATTTTCTTTAGAGTTAGTTTTGCAGAGGGATTTGAGAGTTTTATTACATTGAGGATCTTATTATTTGTCTGCTTGTGTTCTTTTTTATTTTTATTGTTTAGGAAAATATCTTATCCCCTGGTTTACTTTTATTCCTTCCCCAAAAAAATTATTTTATGTAAAATGAAATGTGATATAATGCTGTCATATTTTATGTTTTATAATTTCTTAAAAAATCACTGACATATCTTTGTGCATATTATGTGGTTAATAATATATTTTCTTATTGTTGTTGCAGGGAAATGTGATTTTATGTGGGCTTAGAAATGGGGCCATTGTCACTGCAGATTTTCGTGAGAAAAGAGAAAGTCTTTCTGATAGACTTATTAGCCATCGGATACCATATAGTTCAAGCANGAGTTTTATTACATTGAGGATCTTATTATTTGTCTGCTTGTGTTCTTTTTTATTTTTATTGTTTAGGAAAATATCTTATCCCCTGGTTTACTTTTATTCCTTCCCCAAAAAAATTATTTTATGTAAAATGAAATGTGATATAATGCTGTCATATTTTATGTTTTATAATTTCTTAAAAAATCACTGACATATCTTTGTGCATATTATGTGGTTAATAATATATTTTCTTATTGTTGTTGCAGGGAAATGTGATTTTATGTGGGCTTAGAAATGGGGCCATTGTCACTGCAGATTTTCGTGAGAAAAGAGAAAGTCTTTCTGATAGACTTATTAGCCATCGGATACCATATAGTTCAAGCATTGGAGGGTGTAAAAAGGAATGGTTGAAGGTATTTTTTTTGCTATGAAATTAGAAGTGAGGAGAGATAGAGCAAAAGCAAAATATAGCGTAATAGAATATTGTAGAGATGTCAAAATATATAATGTAAATATTGATTTAAAAATTATGGGGTAAAAACTGTAACAATCTATTAAAAAAAAAGTTGAAAACTAAGATTTCTCATTGTGTGCCAAATGATGCATGCTTGCTGATTGAAAAAATAATCCCATAAATTGTATTTAGTAATGCATACTAGTAGTATCAATATAAAATTTCAAACAAGATCTTTTCTTTGATTTTTGAATTCATCCTTACAGAGAGTAGTAGTTTGAAGGCACCCAATTTTAACATTATCTCTACAGGGAATTGTTATTGACTCTTTTGTATTAGAAGTTGAAGAATTTATTTAAAATTTACTTTCTTGACCAGTAAGGACATGTTTCATGTGGCAATTGCATCATTAACCTAAAGCAAACTAATTAATTTATGGTTGTCACGGTACATTACTTTCTCTTTCATTATATCAGGAACAATATTCGCCCTCGTGGTACCATTAAAGCAAACTAATTAATTAATGGTTGCCATGGCTCAAATGAATGTTTTACTCAAATTTGAGCAATTCTGTTGATAAAACCTTAAAAAAGGAGGAATAATAAACTTAACAGTAGAAATTAAAAGCATTATAGGCTTGGTTACAATTTGGGTAAAAGATTGGATGAACTATATCTTTGTAAACAAGTTCTTGAATGACTTTTACATGTTTTAGTAGTTTCCCCATTTACTTGTTTAAAAATTGAACTTTTTTTTTCATTATTTAGTTATTATTGCCTGTTAGTAGTTCCCTCTGTTTTATGCGAAACCGTTTAAGTTCCTGTGCAAATTTAATTTTTATGTGTACTAATAATTTCTTGTATTGTGTTCAAAATTTGTTCTTTTATGTCTAATGATTCACTTCATGATTCTCGTTACTATTAGCTTTATCTATTGTTGACATGCTTATGTTTCAACCTAATTGCAGCTCAAAGGAGACATATTTCCTTCCCACACAATTAGGATGCCTTCATCTATATCTTCGTTAGTCATCCTTTTTCCCTGCATTTGTCTACTTTTCATGTATCTTCATTTGAATAATATTGATTTTTGACTATTTTCTGTAATTTATTTTGGGTTTGACGCCAGTTTGGTGTCACTTCAGTTTGATGAGCAGTACTTTCTAGCTAGCGCAATGGACGGATCGGTTAGTACACTTTCCGGGAAAATTGTTACCTATAACATTCATGTTTGATGTTACGTTTCATATAATACCAAAATGTTGCATGTATCTCATGATTAGCAGTTGCATGTATTTATTCCTCATTTAAATTGGAGAAAAATTATTTACATTTAGGTTATATTTGGACAAACTTCTTCATAAACACTTCTAGGAGAAAAAGAATACAAAAATATAAGTTTCTCCAGGAGTTAAAATTAGTTTATATACAAGTTGAATAAAAGAACTCGGAGAAATCATGAGAGAACTTTTATGAATTAACTTTGAAATGGTTGGAAGTAAAGTATATTTGTGACTGAAAAACTCACTTTACAAATCAGTTTTATAAGATTGAGTTAGGCTTAAAATACAATTACTAATCGAAATAATGTAATTTTAGTTTATGGAAAATATCATTGTTTTTCTTTTAATTCCTAAAAGTTTTAAAAGAGAAATTTGTCCAACCAAATCCTTAGTTTACAGATTGTAACAAATCCTGTTTAATTGAATTTTCTTTTTCATGGGACATTTTATTTACTTTATCCTCTAGATCTAGCGTCACCTTGATATACAATGATCAATGAAGGCAATATATGTTATCAGAGCTTACAAGACAATGGGTGAAACTGTTGATTTATGTTATATTGGTTGACACCATTTCTTGCGGTCTGCATATCACGAGAGAAATTACTAAACCATAAATATTCTTTTCCTTTACAGATTAGGCTATATGATCATCGTCTACTTCAGAGGGGTGCTGTTCAAAGTTATGAAGGGCATGTGAATTCTCATACTCGTATACAACTTGGTGTCGACCCAACTGAGAGATTTGTTACGTCAGGTGGGTGTTGTTTCAGTGACGTTCTCTATTTTGCATTCTAGGTCTAAATATTTTGTCTGACATTTCAGGTGGAGAGGATTGCAAACTACGGTTATGGAGTCTCAAGTCTGGTGAATTGATTTTTGAGGAGAAGTTCTCTGATTCAATTATCTCAACTATGTGCTATAAAACATACAGTAGTGAGGACGATAAGCTCTCAGCCTTTCTGCTTTAAGTTTTATAAATTGTACCATATTTTGTTTGTCAGCTGGTTGTTAATTTTAAAGTTGGTTGCTTAGGTTGTAAAGCAGAAGAGGGAAACCAATACAAGCTTGACTCCTCTCAGGGTGCATGGCTTGGATCACATGAAGGACTGTTTTATATGCGCTGGTGATGAGTGTGAATGGTTCTGCATCTGCAGGTACAGAACCTCAAGCTGTTGCTGAGCTACCCTATGCTCACGTGACCGAAAACACGTGATCAAAAGGTTTTAGTCTATGGAAAATGGAAAATAGGTTATTGCTGAGAAGATCTGATATTGGGTTTAGAATTTAGTGTTTAAGATAACCGATAGCTCGTAGATATGTGCTTACATGGAAAAAATTCCTGTTAAAGGCTCTTTGGGAATTAAAGCTGATACTAGCAGGAGCAATCACATAGCAGAGATGGCCAATGCTTTGTAGAACACACTAGGAAAGATAGGCCAAAAAGAAAAAGAAAAGCATTGTGCTGCTAATGGCTTTTTAGCACCAAAAGTTTCTAGTTGACGTTGTGCCTCTACTTTGAGAACCATCATATGCAGGCCAGCCTTAGTAGAGTTAGTGGCCAACATGGTTTTGTTAATTAGTGGTTAAAAACTTTCAATATTTATTTTGCTTTTAGAAATTGAAATCAAATGGCTTCAATAAATTCTGCAAACTTTATTGAAATAGAATATAATAACGATGTTATTTGTTTTTAACTCACTGAGTAAACAAATTCACAAGCAATTTTCAATATTTAAACTGTAATCAAGCAAANAGTTTGAATAAGTTACACGTTTTATTACACTGACGGTCCTATTTATTTATTTGTGTGTGTTCTCTTCTTATATTTTTGCTCTCAGAAATATCTTATCCTCTGATTTAGTTCTATTCGTTCTTTCCTGTCTTTAATTTTCTTTAGAGTTAGTTTTGCAGAGGGATTTGTGAGTTTTATTACATTGAGGATCTTATTATTTGTCTGCTTGTGTTCTTTTTTATTTTTATTGTTTAGGAAAATATCTTATCCCCTGGTTTACTTTTATTCCTTCCCCAAAAAAATTATTTTATGTAAAATGAAATGTGATATAATGCTGTCATATTTTATGTTTTATAATTTCTTAAAAAATCACTGACATATCTTTGTGCATATTATGTGGTTAATAATATATTTTCTTATTGTTGTTGCAGGGAAATGTGATTTTATGTGGGCTTAGAAATGGGGCCATTGTCACTGCAGATTTTCGTGAGAAAAGAGAAAGTCTTTCTGATAGACTTATTAGCCATCGGATACCATATAGTTCAAGCATTGGAGGGTGTAAAAAGGAATGGTTGAAGGTATTTTTTTTGCTATGAAATTAGAAGTGAGGAGAGATAGAGCAAAAGCAAAATATAGCGTAATAGAATATTGTAGAGATGTCAAAATATATAATGTAAATATTGATTTAAAAATTATGGGGTAAAAACTGTAACAATCTATTAAAAAAAAAGTTGAAAACTAAGATTTCTCATTGTGTGCCAAATGATGCATGCTTGCTGATTGAAAAAATAATCCCATAAATTGTATTTAGTAATGCATACTAGTAGTATCAATATAAAATTTCAAACAAGATCTTTTCTTTGATTTTTGAATTCATCCTTACAGAGAGTAGTAGTTTGAAGGCACCCAATTTTAACATTATCTCTACAGGGAATTGTTATTGACTCTTTTGTATTAGAAGTTGAAGAATTTATTTAAAATTTACTTTCTTGACCAGTAAGGACATGTTTCATGTGGCAATTGCATCATTAACCTAAAGCAAACTAATTAATTTATGGTTGTCACGGTACATTACTTTCTCTTTCATTATATCAGGAACAATATTCGCCCTCGTGGTACCATTAAAGCAAACTAATTAATTAATGGTTGCCATGGCTCAAATGAATGTTTTACTCAAATTTGAGCAATTCTGTTGATAAAACCTTAAAAAAGGAGGAATAATAAACTTAACAGTAGAAATTAAAAGCATTATAGGCTTGGTTACAATTTGGGTAAAAGATTGGATGAACTATATCTTTGTAAACAAGTTCTTGAATGACTTTTACATGTTTTAGTAGTTTCCCCATTTACTTGTTTAAAAATTGAACTTTTTTTTTCATTATTTAGTTATTATTGCCTGTTAGTAGTTCCCTCTGTTTTATGCGAAACCGTTTAAGTTCCTGTGCAAATTTAATTTTTATGTGTACTAATAATTTCTTGTATTGTGTTCAAAATTTGTTCTTTTATGTCTAATGATTCACTTCATGATTCTCGTTACTATTAGCTTTATCTATTGTTGACATGCTTATGTTTCAACCTAATTGCAGCTCAAAGGAGACATATTTCCTTCCCACACAATTAGGATGCCTTCATCTATATCTTCGTTAGTCATCCTTTTTCCCTGCATTTGTCTACTTTTCATGTATCTTCATTTGAATAATATTGATTTTTGACTATTTTCTGTAATTTATTTTGGGTTTGACGCCAGTTTGGTGTCACTTCAGTTTGATGAGCAGTACTTTCTAGCTAGCGCAATGGACGGATCGGTTAGTACACTTTCCGGGAAAATTGTTACCTATAACATTCATGTTTGATGTTACGTTTCATATAATACCAAAATGTTGCATGTATCTCATGATTAGCAGTTGCATGTATTTATTCCTCATTTAAATTGGAGAAAAATTATTTACATTTAGGTTATATTTGGACAAACTTCTTCATAAACACTTCTAGGAGAAAAAGAATACAAAAATATAAGTTTCTCCAGGAGTTAAAATTAGTTTATATACAAGTTGAATAAAAGAACTCGGAGAAATCATGAGAGAACTTTTATGAATTAACTTTGAAATGGTTGGAAGTAAAGTATATTTGTGACTGAAAAACTCACTTTACAAGTCAGTTTTATAAGATTGAGTTAGGCTTAAATTACAATTCCTAATCGAAATAATGTAATTTTAGTTTATGGAAAATATCATTGTTTTTCTTTTAATTCCTAAAAGTTTTATAGGAGAAATTTGTCCAACCAAATCCTTAGTTTACAGATTGTAACAAATCCTGTTTAATTGAATTTTCTTTTTCATGGGACATTTTATTTACTTTATCCTCTAGATCTAGCGTCACCTTGATATACAATGATCAATGAAGGCAATATATGTTATCAGAGCTTACAAGACAATGGGTGAAACTGTTGATTTATGTTATATTGGTTGTCACCATTTCTTGCGGTCTGCATATCACGAGAGAAATTACTAAACCATAAATATTCTTTTCCTTTACAGATTAGGCTATATGATCATCGTCTACTTCAGAGGGGTGCTGTTCAAAGTTATGAAGGGCATGTGAATTCTCATACTCGTATACAACTTGGTGTCGACCCAACTGAGAGATTTGTTACGTCAGGTGGGTGTTGTTTCAGTGACGTTCTCTATTTTGCATTCTAGGTCTAAATATTTTGTCTGACATTTCAGGTGGAGAGGATTGCAAACTACGGTTATGGAGTCTCAAGTCTGGTGAATTGATTTTTGAGGAGAAGTTCTCTGATTCAATTATCTCAACTATGTGCTATAAAACATACAGTAGTGAGGACGATAAGCTCTCAGCCTTTCTGCTTTAAGTTTTATAAATTGTACCATATTTTGTTTGTCAGCTGGTTGTTAATTTTAAAGTTGGTTGCTTAGGTTGTAAAGCAGAAGAGGGAAACCAATACAAGCTTGACTCCTCTCAGGGTGCATGGCTTGGATCACATGAAGGACTGTTTTATATGCGCTGGTGATGAGTGTGAATGGTTCTGCATCTGCAGGTACAGAACCTCAAGCTGTTGCTGAGCTACCCTATGCTCACGTGACCGAAAACACGTGATCAAAAGGTTTTAGTCTATGGAAAATGGAAAATAGGTTATTGCTGAGAAGATCTGATATTGGGTTTAGAATTTAGTGTTTAAGATAACCGATAGCTCGTACATATGTGCTTACATGGAAAAAATTCCTGTTAAAGGCTCTTTGGGAATTAAAGCTGATACTAGCAGGAGCAATCACATAGCAGAGATGGCCAATGCTTTGTAGAACACACTAGGAAAGATAGGCCAAAAAGAAAAAGAAAAGCATTGTGCTGCTAATGGCTTTTTAGCACCAAAAGTTTCTAGTTGACGTTGTGCCTCTACTTTGAGAACCATCATATGCAGGCCAGCCTTAGTAGAGTTAGTGGCCAACATGGTTTTGTTAATTAGTGGTTAAAAACTTTCAATATTTATTTTGCTTTTAGAAATTGAAATCAAATGGCTTCAATAAATTCTGCAAACTTTATTGAAATAGAATATAATAACGATGTTATTTGTTTTTAACTCACTGAGTAAACAAATTCACAAGCAATTTTCAATATTTAAACTGTAATCAAGCAAACAGTATATTTTTTTATAGGCTTAAATACGTTTAATTTCTAAAATTTGTTGTAAGTATTTTTTTTCTTCAAATTTAAAATTGATTTTTAATCCGTGTAATTAAAAAAAATGTTTTCGTTTGTTTGTCTAAATACCAATAAAATAAATGTTTGAAAGGAATACATGTACGTGGTAGGTTGTTTTTATAGTAAAAGTGCAAAATTAAATTAGACCGTCGTAAAAGTAATTTATAATCTTCAAGTTATTTTATGGGATTAAAACATATTTTTCTTTTTCCTTAAAATTTCAGAAACTGAAAAGTTGAATTTTAAAAATTTAAGGAACAAAAGTACAATTTTAAATTTAAAAAAGTATTTATGTAATTATATCTTTATATTTATGAATAAAAAAACGCAGAGTTTAATATAGTTTGACATAGGCTTTATACGGAAAAATCGCTCTATTACCCACTCTAATCCTACCATCGCATGACTAGTGAATTTCAAATTCACTACTTTAAAATCATATTAGTATCTTGTAAGAAAATAGTTAAATAATAACTAATTTTAAAAACAAAAATAATTATTAACTGAATTTAAATAATTTTATAAATTAAAATTTATTTATATTTAAAATAATCCCTATTATAAATAAAAAAGTTATAATTAATTTATAAATTAAAATGTAAATTGGTCTTTTACATATATTTTAATTATTTACTATTATTTTATTAATTATAAATTAATTTTAAATTTTAAGTGACATATTAATTTAAACAATAATTCGATGATACCTAATGTTAGAAATTAATCCTCTAATTCATAAAATTAACTATAATTTTTTTTATTTATAATAGAAACTATTTTAAATATTAATAATTTTTAGTTTGTAAAATAGTATCTAAATTAATCAATATAATATAATATTAATTATTTTAGTTTTTAAAATTAATTATTATTTAATTAGTTTTTAGTGCATTTATTAGATAGAATTATAAATTATTATAAACTCCTCACACGTGTTTAATTTTTACTGATTAAAAGCATTAACATTCATTAGTAAAAAGGAGTAACTCGAATTAATATAATTTGAAAATCTAGTCCATATTAATCACTCCGAAGAACTTGTTCATGACAAATTAATCAGGTGTTAATTTTGTATCTCTTCTTTTATCCTTCTGTTGGTAAGTTTTGCTCCTTTTGGATTCAACTATAATGTCAGTTATCTGTGATGCATGCAGCTTTGCACGTACTAAGCTTTGTCTGGGGCTAGATTTAGCACTTCATCTCAAATCCTAACACAACTCCTTCTTTAATCCATTTTATGCTTACACAGTAAATGAAAGAACGACTGAGTTTACGTTTCAATACCACTTTCATCACTCAAATCCCTCATCCACGTAGTAATACATATAGAGAGTTGTTACTGTCACTAATTAAATCACCATTATTTAATATACAAAAGAAATGAATATGTTAATGAAAAGTCAAGAAACTGGTAGAACTCAAAGTCTACTCTGCATATAGCAGATGCTCTCATTTTCCATGATCATGAAGTTTAAATTAAATTACTTTTGAAATAAGTATTTAGTATTTCAATGTTTGTTTTACCTAGATACCCATATGGAGCTGCACACATGTAATCACCAATGAGAATCAAAATTAATTTGAGTGAGATTATCATGGAGGTTTGTTTTATATTTCTATGAATTTTTGTACTAATTAAGATATCTTACAAAAATCCAAATTAAGTGATTTTAAAAAAGGAAGTAAATGTTTATGATTTGACATGCAAATTTTAATATTTAAAACACTGAAAAAAAAGTTTTGTAAAACTTGATTTAGGATCAAAGTAATAAGATTAAATGCTTTAAAGAAGAATCCTAACGAACTTTTTTCTCTCTCTCAAAGTAATAACAAAAACATTTTATGTATTATATTCATTTTCAAATTATTTATACAATTTAATTATTTTAAGTTTAGAAGTAAAAATAATATAATTCTAACAAGATAAGCCTAATAAATACTTTAATGATTAAATGATTAAATGAGACACACTTAAACTAAGATTAGGGATATGAATCTTACTGTAATATTTTAATATTTTATACACCTTTTTACTAAAGTATGGACAGGTCTTTCCATATTATAGGAGAGACGTGATTTTCAAAATCTTTAAAGGGCGACATTAATATTTTATGTTCAAAAAGTTAATATAGATATTTAAGTTCAGACAATAGTCTAAAATTCAATGAAAAAGTTAGTCAATACTTTAAAACTATAATTTTGGCTAAAATATAGTTTAAGCAAGAATCGAGTTACATAACTTTTTTAGGTGAAGTTACAATGTTGATTATAGGAATGTTTACAACGTTGTTTTATTTATTGATGTCTCAAAACTGATAACAAGAATATAACAGGCATCACATCATATAACAAAAAATTGACATGTCAGTAAGTAATTTACTTTTAGAAGAAGAATCAAACTACACAAGATTTACCCTTTGCAGAAGTGAGAACAGAAAAGAAAAAGAAAGGGAGATAAAATCTTGAATGAAGATGAGGAAGAATTAAAAAGGAAATCTAAGTAACCAAATAAAGAAAACAGTCATGAAAAGAGAAAGCTGTGAAGGCACTTTGATAGCTTTTGTCAAAGCAAGATAACAGTTCTTTTGATATCTTTCTGTTTGACAAACATTCTCAAACCAGTAGCCATGTATGCTTACCACAAAGCTTTTTGAGTTGAGTCTTGCTAACAAATTATTAAAGCGACAAGACCCCTTCAAAACAAAAGTGAAGGCAAAATCATGTCCAGAGCCTACCCATATATCTCTTTTAGCTTGCTTCTCTAACATGTACCTTCATGCATGTTCAGTGTTTTTAAGATAAAACAAAAGATTAAATGTGATGGGACAGCAATGCAGTGAAAAATGTCCAATGCGTCACACCAATTAAATTCACCAATGAACTTGGTAAATGGTACTCCATCACATGCTTCCAATGTCAATGCTTTTTCATTCCATAAACTGCTAAAAGATAATTTATGATGATTAATTAATTAGCAGTAAGGAATCTCGGTAGCTATATCCCAAAATTTGAAATCATGATCAGAGCATATAGCTACAATTGAGCTTCCAAAAATTCAGTAAACAGATTATTAGCTAGTTCAATTGTCCAAATCAGTTTGGCAGTTTCATCTGATAAACAAAACAAGAAGGTACTATCAAGAGGAAACAGACAGTGATTTATGCATATAAAAATTGAGTCGGCCTGTAATGGTTTATTTTTTAAAGGAAGGGGACAAAGGATACCATGGAAGTGTAGAGAAAATGATGAGGACATTTTAGGTAATTGAGGATGAAAGATATTGACCCTTCAAACACTGCTTTGCATGACAAATCC